GTCCCGGCCCTAAAGCGGGTCATTCGCGGGGTCGCCGACCTCACACCCGCTCTGTGCGGCAGGGACCGCAACTCCTTGGCGCCTTCTCCCTTCTGTCACCTCAAAACCCACATTGCAATTCAAAGGACCAACTGACACCGACCAACCAGCCAGTTTCACCGTCCGCAAGATGGAACCGGAAGTCCCGCCCCAAAGCCTCGAAATCCAACATAAATGCTTTCGGCCTGATGTGTCATTCGCTCAACCAGCACTCGGTCTTCTGGGTAATGCAGTTCCCAGAGCTCCAGAGGGCACATCCTTCTCCGTCGTGAACAACTAGGAAGTTTGCCATTGGAGGGATCCGATGCTGTTCCCTGGAGGGAAGTATTTGCTCCTGGTTAATGGCTGCAAAAACTCAATTCTGACCTGTCTACCTGGAGATTGGTTTAGGGGCTCAGAACCACAAGACTGTGCCACCCCCGCCCCTTAGATGCAATTCAAAGTCCAGATGTTATCTGTGCTTCAGAGAGAGGCACATCAATGATGAGAGAGAATCATCTGATGCACATTCTTGCTATAATTAAGGCCCAATCTTATGTGTGAAGCTTGTCCAGCTTTACAGAACCCGTTCCCCGAAATACGCCCATTTTACATAGGCCACAAACCATGAACCATACCCCACCACCCCGCTGGGGCCAGCCAAGCCAGGCCTTTGGGTGTTATCTCGCCCATGGGGGACTACAAAGCCCACAAAAAGTCTGGAGGCTTGGTCCATATTTGGGGAGACAAAGAAACCGAGGGTGGCTTCCTCCATATTCATCACTCAGGCTCTGGAGAATGACTCCCATGAGTCAACACACTAGTGCATTTGCAAATAAAGAGTTTTTCCTGAATCTTCCGAGTACTGATTGTGTGTTTTCCAGTCACCTGGTAATTTCTGAAACAGCCTAGATCCATCAGAGAAATCACTATCTATGGCAGTTATATCCTTACAAAATGTATTTCTTAAGCAATAAGGCTTGAAAATCAAATTTACTCCGTAATCCATGGGCTTCAGAATGGACATTGTATTTGCAACATGAAAATAACGTTAACCCCCAAGCCTGTGTTGCTCAGTGGTTGAGCATTGACCCATGCACCAAGAGGTCACCAGCTGATTCCTGGTCAGGGCACATGCCTGGGTTGTAGGCTCAATTCCGGGGAGGGGCAGG